ACCATGACAATTATCTATACGGTAGCTGTAATAAAGTGTTATGACAGTGGCACATAATCCAATTGCATTTTTATCTGTCATCCTATAAAAGTTATGTTTACTGTGAAATTCAACATAGTCTTATTTGTACGTTTGTGAAATCCCTGTAGTCCTACAGAAGAAAGATGGATTACTACTAACACTTTTGGTGTCTCAAGAAAAGTACTATGGAGCTGCTTGTGAAGACAGATGCCCCAGAAGGGGCAGAACTCAGCAGCACATTTGGTGTGGAAGAAGAAAACAACAAAAAAGGACAAGCCTTGCTTGCAGAACAATTTAGGCATGTGTTGCTTTAAAGCAGATTACATTTTAAATTTACCTACTATTGCTGCTCATAGCAAAAGATCATGAGAACTACACCCAGTACTCTGAGCAAAGGACTACTTGAGCAGACTGGGGTGATTGGATACAAGAGGTTGGAAAAGATGTGAAAGGAATCATTGTCTGTGATCACAAGTCCATCTGTTGAGCCTTCCACAATACAAACAAGAGAACTGAGATGGCATGGAGGTGATGAAAAGAGGAAGATTGGAATTTAGGAGTGAAACGATAGATGAAAACTGAGATTGAATGGAAAAACCTTGAAGAGTCGATCAAGAATTTAACATTTTCTTGTTATGTTTTTACTGATGGGCTTAGTTGCTACGGCTTGACCTTCTGAGGCTTGCTGAGATCTCCCTGACCAAGTTTGGAAGACAGGCCTTGAACAGTACAGGTTCAGAAAAAAACCACCCTGTCAGATGCATTCTCGGTGTGTTTTCTGTTGGGCACGTAGTCATGCTGCAAAGCACAGGAGCTGGGGAGGTGCAGCAATCTAAAACGTGATTCTCTCAGTCAGCCCTACCACAACAGTCTAAAACGTGATTCTCTCAGTCGGCTCTACTCCAGCGCACCGAGCGCGGGCGAGATTGGCTGGGAGGCCATTTAGGAAGCTCACAGGTGGCACCAGTTGGTGGCTGCCCGGCCGTGCCCGAACTCTGGCATTGCAATGGTAGGTCAGTGTTGGCTGGGCTGGGCTCTCTAACCCGCCGGGAGCCCCGTGCTCCGGAGCCCAGGCTGAGCTCCCATCTGCCTGAGAGCTCCAGGGATCCACCAGCGCGGTGGACAAAGGGGACAAAGCCTTCGCATCCCTGGGCTCGTCCGGGCACAGCTGCGGCAGCGGTGGCCGGGAAGAATCCCGGTCAGCGCCCGGGTCGCCCCGGAGCTCCCGCCCCCGCGGCAGGACTACATCTCCCGGCGGGCCCGGCCAGGGCCGTGCCCCTCTCCCGGCGTGCCGGGGGCGGCCCCGGCGGCAGCCAAGGGAGGCGAGGGGAGGAGTGGGAAGCGCGGTCCCGACCGCGGCAGGTGAGAGCGGGAGGGTCCCGGTGTCCCCCCCGGGGCGGGTCCCGTTATATCCCTGGGCTGGGAGCGGGGGGGTCCCCGCGCTGCTGCGGGGGTTGTGGAGTTCCCAAACGGGAGGCGAACGGTGCCCCGGCAGGCGGAAGAGCCGCAAACTTCCCATCCAGTAAGCGGAATTACTTTTCCAAGCGATTCCGCGTGCCGAAGCCTGCGGGCACCGAACTGCTGGACAGCGGGCGCTGCGCCTGCGTGCCGAAAATGCCAGTGTTTTGGAAAGCGAAGCCGGAGGTATCCACGCATTAACAGTGCGAATTACTGAAGTCTGGATAACCCCGGGTGGGGATACTTAGGTTGATTTGGGAACAGGAAAACCCTAATCTGCGTTTCTGTGGGGAGCGTAGATGTGACATTCCCGAGGGCTTGCTGCAGCCAGGGATGCTTGTCCAGGTAAAGGTTCCCGATAAGCTGGCCTTAATGCTGACACTGCTTACGGCAGCAACGATTTTATTTAACGTTCCTTGGGAATGCGGCCTGGTTTCCCAGTTTAGTTAGAGTAAGTTGCTTAAACTATTGGCATATAAGTGGTTTTGGTTTGGTTTTGTTGCTCATCTCAAAATGGGGATATGAAATTGAACTTTTATTTGTTTATTTAGTTTATGGGTAATTTGCCAAACCTGAAAATTGTTTGATTGAGTACTGTATACATAGTTCCCTTTGCTGAGCAAGGCTTTTAGGGATGAGAAGAAAACCTTTTAAGTTTAATGAGCGTATTTTGTTGCGTAACTGAGCAATCTGCAAAGACTAAGCAAATGACATACTCCCCTCAAGTTTGGCTCAGTTTGTGAGAATTCAGTTGGGATTTTGACTGCCCAGCAGTTATAACATACCATAATCAAGTACATTGCTTAAGTTTCCCACTCTGTTGAATTAAGGCGCTCTCTCTTCTCTTCATAGCATAGCTTTATCAAAAATAAGACAACTTGCCTAGTTATTGTAGGTGAACCTACAAGATAGGATCAGTTTTAGAGGCCAGTGTCTCAAGTTTACTTACAGAGCGACAAGTGCAGGGTTAATATTTTGATTGGCATTACTCCTCGGAGAAGCCATGCCTCTCCCCTGAAGCGGATATTACTCCTGTCTGAAGTAAGCTAAAACTGAGACTTGAGTGCACAAATTGCTAATGGTTACTGAAAATCGATGGAAGATAGGCCCCAAAAGCAATTAAGCAGCTTTGAAAATCGATCCACAGTTGAAGTTGTCCAAGGACAAGGATTAGATCTTTGTCAGGGCTGAAGTCCTTGTGGGGAAGGTCCTGGCACAGTGTCAAGTTCGTGGCTCTTTGTTCTACATCTTTTTCAGTCTGATTTCATATATAATAATGTGCGTGTGATTTGCTTAAACTCTGCTTCTTTGTTATTTCTTCCAGAGTTTGTTATTTTTTTCATATGTGTAATCATGGTGTTGAAGTAAATAATTTGAAATAGAGCATAGTTGGTAATAACCAGTGCAGCCAAAATCCACATGCAATTTGTCTGTATGAATTGTCCAAAATAGATTTTTGATTACTGGGTGCTTTAAAAGGCCTTTTTCCCCCCTCCCCTGTTGGTCTACTGTACTTTATATATTTGGTCATTCTGTAGGGCAATACCGTGCTTTCAGCCTGTTTGTTTATTTGGGTTTCAGCAAAACCTTCAGGCTTACCTAGTATTTTAGGCATAAAATGTCAATGTTTTAATCTGGTAAGCACTGTGAAAGAAGCTCAGGCTCCTTAGTAGAATATACATGGCCAATTTGTTCTGAGTAATTACAACAGGTAAATAAAAGGTTTGGGGTAATAATTCTGGAATGGTAATACTCCCAGAAATTCTTGTTGCTTCAGTAATAGTTTGTCAAGTAATTTGTCAGTGGAGAAGTAATAAAGCAGGGATGGGGGTGGTAGGTGAAGTACAGCTTATAGCTCTAGGCAAAATGAATTGATTATCTCACATATTCCTATGCACATTTCATGTATTTTAGTTGGAGTAGTCAAATTTTGTGGCCATATGAGCAGAGGTAAAGCCTCTGCCACAAGAAAGAGCGTGAAAGAGGTAAAGAGATGAATAACCATCTCTTGTGGCAGAGCGTGCACTACTTCATTGGGCTTGCAAGAGTATTTTCTTCATGCAATGAACAATCCCAGAACCAGGGCAGTCTTCTTTAAAGTACAAGCTCCGAATGTGGCAAATACTTCTCTAATTACTGTGTGAGTCCCTAAAGAAAAGTCACTTGGAAAGTAGAGCATCTTGCTTCTCTCTGAAGAGCTTTGGTCTGCTTGTAATTAATGTTGAAAATACTGTTTCCCCTTCTGAATACTACTGCTGGAAAAGTCCTGGATTCTTCCTCTGAACACATTATTTTTAATTAAAAGCATCATTGTGTGTGTAAATGGATATTTACATAAATAGTAAAGCACAAAAAAACCTACCTCTAAAATGACATTTGCTTTAATATCTTAGTCATGCTAGACATAGCAGGATGGCTGACAGTGATTTGAATATACCCTGGGGTTTATGGTTGTTTTTCTAAAGCAGCATTATCAGCTTTTATATATATATTTAAACGTATTGTTATTGATTGAATGCTTTCTGACTGGCAGGGCTGGGAATATTTCTGTGGGAATTGTGGTAGCCATGCTTTTTTAAGGTGCTTTTTTCAATAGTGTATTTGCCAGAATGTTTATGAAGGGATCATAAATGTTTATGAAGGGATCCTGCTGGGTTAAAAAAGAGGAGCTGTTTTCTAGATTTCTTCTCTGAAAAGTGAGCTGTTCTTGAACATTCCTCCAACTTTTTTTTGGAACATCTCTGTTGGAGATTATTAGGTGTAACCCACAACACAAGTAAACGCTCAGCAAACTTTTTTTTTTGTTCTTTCTTTATCTCAAGCAATTCTTCTCATATTTATTGCACCCAGCAGTAAAACTTTTTAATCTTGTGAATTCTGTAATGAAGACACGTAATTATTGCTCTCCCAGTTTTTTCTGTGTCTGTAGCCTGTGTATGTTTTGCTCTCTGATGGAGGACAACTCTTTCTCAGGTTAAATGGTGATGGGTTATGAATCAAAACCAAAGCTCTGTTGAAGGACCTAGTACTCTTGATTGCTTCATCAAGAGTGTTAATTGCTCTAATCTGGTGGGTACAGGTAGTGCACTGTTCTAGATGAAGCCAATAAATCCAAAGAGAACTTAAATATTTAGTTGTTATTAAGAGAGAGATAAAGTAGCAAGAATTTTTCTTGTTACATGTTTACTCTGGCACATCCTTTTGGTGTTGCAGTTATTTGACAGAAGATGATGACTACCATCTGTTCCCCTCCTCTGTCATCATTCAGAGTTCCTTTTCTCATTGAGAATGAAGTCTTCACAGAGAGATAACAAATTTTGATCTCTTCCTGTTTCCATAGACACAATTAATAATTTTTTTCTTTTTACACTTATACCTCTGGGCAAAATGAATTGATTATCTTACGTATTCTTATGTACATTTCTTGTATTATAGTTGGAATATTCCAACTTTGTGGCCAGGGAGTCTGACATTCTAGAAAAAGAGGAAATCAGAAATAATAGAGGAAGGAAGGAGTCTCATCACAGAGGTAAGAATGATTATGGCATCATGAAGGAAGAAGAGACTCTGGCATCCAAGAGGAAGAAGAGAGTCTATCATCACAGAGGAAGTAGAGATTGTGGCATCACAGAGGTAAGAGGGAATCTGGCATCATAAAGAAAGGAGTGAGTCTGGCAGGATTGAGGAAGGAAGCAAGAAAGGAAGGAATCCGTGATAATAGAGGAAAGAGGGACTCTCATCACAGAGGTCGGATGGAGTCTGGCATCATGAAGGAAGGAGAGAGTCTGGCATGATTGAGGAAAGGAAGGAAGGAGTCTATCATAATACAGGTAAGAGGGAGTCTGACATCAAAGAGGACGAGAGGGAGCATGGCATAGAGGTAGGAGGGAGTCTGGAATCATAGTGGAAAGAAGGAGACTTAGAAAGGTAAGAGGGATTGTGGCATCATGAAGGAAGGAGAGAATCTGGCATGCAAGAGGAAGAAGAGAGTCTGGTATCATTGAGGAAGGAAGGAGGCTATCATCATAGAGATAATAGGTTGTCTGGCATCATAGAGGAAGGAGGGAGTCTGGAATTGTAGAGGAAGGAGGGAGGCTGGAATTACAGAAGTAAGAGGGATTGTGGCATCATGAAGGAAGGAAATGAGTCTGGGATCAGAAAGGAAGAAGATAGTCTGGCATCATCTAAAGAAGGGAGAAGTTGGTCATAGTACAGGTAAGAGAGAGTCTGGCATCATAGAGGCAGGAGGGAGTCTTGTGTCAAAGAGGAAGGAGGGAGTGGCATCAAACAGGAAGGGAGAAGTGTGGGATCGTAGAGGTGGGAGGGAGTCTCATCATAGAGATAAGAGGCATTGTGGCATCATGAAGAAGAGAGTCTGGCATCACTGAGGAAGGAGGGAAGGAAGGAGTTTATCATAATACACATAAGAGGGAGTCTGGCATCAGAGAGGATGTAGGGAGCCAGCCATCACACAGACAAGGGGTTTCTGGAATCATGAAGGAAAGAGAGATTCTGGCATCATAGAGGAAGGAGGGAATCTCATCACAGAGGTAAGAGGGGGTGAGGCATCACAGAGGATGTGGCATTGTTGCAAAATAACTGAAGTTTAGTAATTGGTAGTAGAATGGCTAAGGCTTAGTAGGAGAGTAGGCCTAGAAAGCAACACTCCAAAGTAGTAAGTTAGCAACCTTGTTTGTGAGAGTGGAATGTACTGAAGAAGTGGAAACAGTAATCAAAGGATTTAGTCAAGCATGTATATAATGATTTGTTACCTAGGATGTGGTAAGGGTCTGTTAAACAGTTTCTAGGAGTAAGACAACATAAGCAGATTTATGATTAGAGTAGATGATTATTAATTGTTATCAGAATGAAGTATGAGCTTGTTTGTAACTGTACCTGGTTTGCTGTGGAAACTGTAACTGTTTTGCTGTGGAAACTGCTCGTAAACTTGTTTGTGTATAAAAGCTGAACTGAGAATGAGGGTCTTTGGAATCCTGACTTGGGACGCTAGTCCTCAGATTCCCGGGCCCCGAATAAAGCACCGCATAAACCGGCACTCTGTTGGTTTGTGTTTTTGGTTACGGGCAACAGCATCACCGTCCCTGGAGGTTTTTAAGATGAGACTGGATGTGTTACTTAGTGCCATGGTCTAGTAACCACGGCGGTGTTGGATCAAGGATTGGACTTGATGATCTCGGAGGTCTTTTCCAACCTGTTTGATTCTATGATTCTATGAAAGAGTCTGGCATCATAGAAAAATGAGGAAATCTGGAAAAATAGAGCAAGGAAGGAGTCTCATTTAAGAGGGATTGTGGCATCCTGAAGGAAGGAGAGAGTCTGGCACCCACGAGGAAGGAGTGAGAGTCTGGCATCACTGGGGAAGGAGGAAAGGAAGGAAGGAAGGAGTCTGACATGACAGAGAATGAAGGGAGTCTGGCATCGTACAGATAAGAGGTATTCTGGGATCGAGAAGGAAGTGGGATCCTGGCATTATGAAGTAAGGTAAGAGTGTGTCATCATAGATGTACAAGGGAGTCTGGTGTCATAGGGGAAAGAGAGTCTGGCATTGTAGAAAAAGAAGGAAATGGGGGGAAAATAGAGGAAGGAAGGAGTCTCATCATAGAGGTAAGAGAGATTGTGGCATCAAGAAGGAAGGAGAGGATCTGGTATCCAAGAGGAATAGAAGAGTCTGGCATCATTAAGGAAGGAAGGAAGGAGTCTGTCATCATAGAGGTAATGGGATGTCTGGCATCATAGAGGATCAGGGGAGTCCGGTATCATAGAAGTAGTAGGAAGTCTGAAATCGTAGAGTAATGAGAAGGAGTCTGGCATAATAGAGGGAGGAGGGAGTCTGATATCTTAGAGGATGGAGGTCATTTTGCATCACACAGGAATGATGGAGTTTGACTTCAATGAGGGTGGAGGTAATTTGGCATCACAGAGGTAACAGGGTGTCTGGCAGCATGAAGGAGGGAATCTGGCATCACTGTGGAAGGAGTCATGGAGGGAATCTCATCGTAAAGGTAAGTGGGAGACTGGTGTGATAGAGGTAAGGGAAAGTCTGGCATCACAGAGGAAGGAGGGAGTCTGGTATCATAGAAGAAGGGTAGAGTTTGACATCATAAATGTCAGAGAGAGTCTCGCATCATGGGGGAAGCAGCACGTTTTCATTCATGCTGCTCTTTCTACCTGGAGTCACGATCCTCATTTAAATTCGCAGTGCGCACCTCATCTGTTTTGCCTGTTGCCAGAAAATTCCTCTGGCAGTCTTTATATTCATCGTTTCCATCTCCACACCTTCTTTTAACTGAAAGATTGTCATGTACTCTCTTGTTATGTACTTCAAACTACTTGCACTCTTCCCCCCCTGCCAAAGCACCACATATACGTCAATTCTGCATGTTTTAATAATTAAAGGTTTTAGTAACACAGTTTTCTAACAGTTCTAATTCAAAAAGCTTGTAGATCTGCCAGTAAAAGAAGATCTTTCACTCTCTAATTTCATGGAAGAATCTTAAGATACTTAGACTAATGGAAAATCCTACAGGAAACAGGAGGACACATGCTGTGCTGTACCACAGCAGTGCGGGATGAAACTGAGTCTTATCTAGAGATCAGACTGGGCAAAACATTAGCAATAATACCATGGCAGGGAAGGAAGGTAACCTTTTACTCTTCAGTACTGGACGATTTGGTGAAGCTAAAAATAGAGCCCTTATTTACCTTAAGGCCTGAAGAACAATTACCTCGATCTCATTTCCTTATCTGTAATATCTTAGCTCTTTTGGTTCATCTGTGATTTTTTTTTTTTCCCTACCCTCACTGTAAAATGCAGATACTGGCATAGTATGAGGAGGTTAACCTCAGTATTGCTAGAAACTCTAGTGGAAAGCAAAACAGAACAATGTGTTATTCATCATTTCTTTTAAGACATTAGGTATGAAACATTGAAGTAAAGCTCAAGATGTGTTTTGGACTCTGTTTTGCTGGACTGTGTAATTTAGTTGGCTGGATACTGGCTAAGAACTGTTTTAAAAACTTCTTACTGGCATGATATCCTTCCCTTTTTTAACATGTAATTTGAGAGAGCACTCTGTCTTGGAGACCTGGCTTTCAGCTGTGTCCACCCTCCAGTTGTATGCCAGGCTTCTGTGGCTTCTTTGCATGGATGCTAAAAACCTCTTCTTGTTGGAATTTGAGGGACATGGAATAGAGTAAACACTGAATATGATAAATAGGATAAAATCTTTGCATGATCTAACCTTAGTGCATTATTATGGTAGTTTAAACAGTTGTTTCACCCTGAATACATGTTCAGGGTGTTCACATGAATTATCGTGACTGAACAGTGGTGATTTAAGAATCCTGTTGTTGCCTTTCTGTCTTAAACAGAAATTATTGCGGATGGAGAGTAGATCTGCTTTCCTCTGAATCATGCACAGTCATTAGGTCACAATAACAGGCATCACACAGATCCCAAGTTGGATTCTGCCAGTTTGCTTTTCTGTAACCCAGAGGCTTTTTTTTATACTCTTGGAAGGAAGTGGGTTTGTTGAAGCATAATAGAAGCGAAATAAGGAAAATTGAGATAAACAAGACATGTTTTTAAGCAGCACGGAAGAATGTGTTGGGCATGGCTTTGAAAGAGCAAGTAATGTTGCTAAAATAAGTGTTCTTGTAAACTGAGTTTTTTCCTCTTAAAAATGTGGCATGCAGTATTTTAAATTATGATTGTGATATGAGCTTTGACCAGCCAGTGGTTACATAAATATGCTGACTCTGGGTGAGGCAAAGTGGATAACAGTGAACTTAGTCCCATACTACTTTTCTTTCATGCTTAGCTGTGTCTTGGTGCCTGTCAGCTTTCAGTGTAGTACTGGAGAGTTAACAATTGTCACAGGATCATAGGAATATGTTGTCTAAGGTGCTCAACTACTCCCCTGGAATGACGTGCCTCAGGGACTAACTGCCCTAAATAAAACTTCTGGGTGATGCATATGGGAACCTCCGGACCCTAAACTGGCCCTGTTGATTGTTCCTGTTGTCCAAGGGACAAAGCAGTGAAGAGCTGGCAGAGAGCAGTGCCTCAGTGCCACAGGTGTGGGGTGTTCCTCAGCAGTGATGGAAGTGTACCCCTGACCCTGTCCTGGGAGCAGCATACCCTGCTCCTGGGAGAGGCCTGAGAGACTGTGGTTTCCCCTGCTTTGGGAAGGTGACCTCATTCCTTGCTTGTAGCCTTCTAATTAGGTTGCTGCTGTACTGGCTAATTTCTGATTGTGAACGGTCTAGAAAAAGACTGTAAAATAGAATGATATCATCTCTTCCTGCTGTTTTGGAGATAGCATTGTGTGCCACCTCCCTATGGCAATAAAAAATGTAAATGCTAAATTTCTTATCGAGACAAGGCAGCAACTCTGTTGGATTTGTACTTCCTGTCTTTGATTCACTTCCCAGCGTAGGATGCTTTATTTCATCTGATGCCTACCTCTCCTCCTTTCCTACAGTGTTAATGTATCATTTTATGCTCACCTGGGAGATGTTATCAGTTGTATGCAAAGCAATTTCTGTGTTGCTAAGCTATTTTGAAGCTTGTCATAATGCTCCATAGACTACAGAAATAGTAAGCTTTTCTTATACAAGTGTCTTGACTTGATGATTTTCTGCCTGTTCCTGGTGCTACATAATGACAAAAACGTGATGCCTGGAGATGGTAGCAGGTAGACTGAGGGTGAAGCTTCGGGGCCTGTGCCATGTGTTAGTCCCTTTCAAGCTGTCAGTGCTAAGGGGCCCTGTTACAGGTGCCATGGACTTTTGAAGTCCTTCCGTGGGTTGTTTTTCCTTCAGGTCTCTTGGGAAGAGTAACCTGCAACTGCTGCTCTTCAGGCAAACCAATGGGTAAACAAAGATGCTGCAGCAAAGGGTTGCCTTTTCGGTAAAACCTAATGGGGGACTTTATGTAACAGAACAAAAATAAACAGAAACATCACTTCTAAATTGAGCTGTTATTTCTCCTGCAGAGTAATTATTAATCAATAAACCTTGTGTCTGACAGCATCAGAGCATGCCAAGTGCTCTGAGCTACCTTGCAGTCTGCTAGTAAACCAACCCTGGAGGGAAAATGTTACTAACCTTAAGCCGTGATTACCTCTGGCATGTGTCTGAACGCAGCACGGTCTCTCATGTCTTTTGCTTAACCCACACCCCACTCATAGGGTTTGATAGCACCACTTGGAGTTGTGGGTATTGTGCATCATTCAGGCCGTGGTAGCTGGGTTGCAAAATGGGTTTCCAGTGTTAGGTTGAAAGTCTGCACAGTTGCTTATTTCTCCAGTAACACGTGTCAGATGTATTCTAATGCTGCAAGGCAAAGATGGATGGTTACTAGTAGGATGAGATGGGGATTTTACCTTTAAGCTATTTCAGAGGTGACATCTCTAAAGATAAATAGCAGTGTTCTCTGGGGCATCTGCTACTGGGTACTGATGAAGACAAGGTGTGAGACAGGACGTAGCTTTGATGTAAATAATAATTGCTCTGTTCTGTGGAGCTCTTAGCTCTGCTGCTAATGCACGAACAGAGGACAGTGCAAATCAAAATGCAAAAAAGTGCCGAAAACCAAGAGTGTTTTCAAGAGGGAGCAGTATCTTTACTGTAAGAAAGTTTAGGGGTCTTCTTGCAAACGCGTTTCTTGAGATGCACTTGGCCTTCTTCAAGAGGAGCTAGTTCTTAGGCTATTTTCTGAACCCATCGCATTTCAACATTTTTCTTTTAAACCATGGTTTTAAAGCAGCAAACCAAAAGCATTCTTCCTTGAACTCTTTAGGATAAAAGTACTGTCTAAGGTATTTAAGGGCTGTCTATAAACAATATCCACCCTGGGGTACAGCAAAGTCTCAGAGCCTAAGTACTTGACCATGGAATAAATGGAAATATTTTGTTCTAAGGTTTTGCCTTTGTTGCATAAAAAGAGGAAAAAGCCAAACCAAAACATGAACTCCCTTTGAAGTACTCAGCTATAAAGGCAACATGCCAGTGTGGTTGCATGAAGAGACTTCAGAAAATAAAAACACCAGCACTTTGTTGTTGACATCTCTGAGAACTGTGAATATAGAAAAGTGTTATTGTACCTGTTTGTCCTTCCACATTTGTGGTTGCTACTGTGTTGCTGCACCTTGGAACAAGTGTAAGGAGCTGATAACTTCCATTTCACAACAGATCTCAGTAATGATTAGCAGAGGAAATTCTGGTGCAGATGCATCACGACTGAGGCTGCTTTATGCCGTTCAAATAACACACCAGAGTTTTAGAGAACCAGCTTGAATAGCAGACTTGGGAAATCACCGAGTGCATTTGCTCTAAGTGGTCTCCTCTCGGCACAGGCTGGAGCGGTTGGTAGGAACATGCTGTGTTCCAGCAACTCATCACCAGCAAAACAATCCCTTTGAGCGTGCTGTGAACTGGTGCAAGTCAAAATACTGCTGACGCACTTTGCCCTTTTCTTCCTGTGCACTCAGAAAAAAAATGTAGCGTAGTTGGAGCTCTAGGCCCCTGTGCTTGTTGTAATGAGGAATTTTACAGGCACTTTCAAGGGAAGTGAGGTTGGATATAGAGGGTCTCTCTGTTAGCAGAAAATAATCCAACCAATATCAGAGGCAGCTTCTTCGAGTCAAAATGACATCTCATGCAAATCAATTTGTCACCAGTCCCAATTCTCTGCAATAGGAGACAGAATTGTTGTGAGACCTGAAGATGATTTTGGCACTTATTGCTGGTTTGTAAACAAGCTCATCCTCAAGTCTGTTTGGAATTAATTGCAAAAATGGGTGTCTGTTCGCACAGTGAATTCTTTCCACACAAGGTCCAGGGTGAATGCAAAATAAACATATTTGCGTGCAATTCCTCCCATATCTTCTACTGCAAAAATTCTGGTTTCTCAAGTATCCTTGAGAGCAGATGGGGGAAGCAGAAATGTTTTTTGTAGCTCTGAGGACTCCGGTGACTTAGGACATAAGAGTTTCTTGCTAGAGAATGGGCTGAGGTTCTGTTCTTGGGCAGTTCTGCATTAGGTGCTGTGCCTCTGTCACTGTGTTGGCATAAGCCAGGAGAAAGAATCCTCTGTTTTTCTAGGTACCCCAACCATTCTGCCTGAATGACAGGGCTGGCGCTGACAGCAGCTTTTTTGTTTGTTGTGGGCCTTTGTAAACGTCTTGAAGTTGGCCAAGAGTCTGAATTTTTCTGTGTGGTGTTTACACAGTTATGCTGGTGAACCTTTGTAGTCTAGGCATGGCCTGAGTTCTGTTGTGATTTCAGGGAAGTTGCTGTTTTTCTCTATGAAGACTTAGTAGTAGAACTGTCATTAAATACTGTAGTAGGTATCATTTCTATGTGAAGTGCTTTGACGTTTCTAGAAGCCCCTCCAGTTGTCCTTTGCAGTAAAATTTAATTGTGCTCAGGATGTTCCTAGACTACGCTGGTTTATGTGTTGAGGCAAGCTGAAATTGGATAAACTTTTTAATTCTGGGGTAAGTTATAGCCTGAGTTTGGTGAGGTGGGAAAAGAGTGTTGTCTTGTGCTCCAGAGAACACGGTGAAGAAAAACAAGCAACAGAAATTATGGAAGCACCAGTGAAACAAGTAAACATTAAGTTTTCTCAGTGCCCATCATTTCCAATAGCTCCAGCCTCTGAGGATTCAGGCACTTTTCAAGGGTGAAGCACTTGCATATATAAGCAATAGATTTTTCTGTAGCTTGCTGTCCTATCTGCACAGTTCCTGACTTCTGTACAGATGTTTTAGTGGGTGCTTATTTTTACCATTTATTAATTTATTGTCAGCCATAAGAAAATTAAAGCCAAGAAGTTGATTAAAATGTGTCCTGTCACATAAAGGCACTTACCACACAGATCAGCTTCATTCCTGCTATAATCCTGTGAGCTCCCATTAACTTGTGTTAAAATTTCTGTTTTGATGCAGGAGTAAATTTGGTGCATTCTTGATGACTCTTTGAGCCATTTCAGAGCATCAAATTACTCTGCAGCAGTAAAACCAACAAAACCTTCTGGCTCTAGAGAGAATGAAGACATTCTGGGTCATAAAAAATCCTTGCCCTACAGAAGTTTTGAAATACTTCATGTCTTAGCAATTCCCCAGCAAATGAATGTTTGAAACACAACATTCTTTAAAATTATGCATTAAAATGATGACAGTACTGTTCCCCAAACCACTTTATAAACGTTTCTTATACTTAAAGGCATGCTTGAAAACATTAATTATTAAAGACTCTGAATATTTTTTTCTACTTGCAGCATAAACCAGTTCAAATATATTTAAAAGGGATTATTTTTTTTTGCTTAGGTGTTCTGTTTGACTGAAGCACAACAGCCCTGCAGCTGGCTTATGCAGATGTGCTGTGAAATCAAGTTCTTCTTCACTTTGACAGAATTTTGTCACTTGGGGTAGTGATCATATTCTAGAGCCAGGAGAGCATGCATGTGGTTTTCTCTTTAAAACAGTTCAGAGGGAGAAAGAAAGGGAAGGTCCTATTACCCTTTGCACTGGTGTTCAAGGGTTATGCAAATATATCCCCGCCCCACTCTCCCAGGGTGACTGGAAGGTACAAGGTGGCTGCCTTCATGCTCTTCACTTTTTATTCTGTATATATATATATGTCTTGTTTTTCTTTCCCTACAGATTTATAGCAGTAGATATATAAGCCTTACTGAAGAGATGCTCTGCATTTGAGTTTGTGGGAAGTATAGAGCTTCAGAGGAAGAGAAAGCATTAAACCTCCTTTACCCTTGAAGCTTAACTGCAGTTGTGGACCACTGAGGAAGCCAACGTGGCATGTTTCATCAGTGAACTATTTGATTATGAAGCCATCTCTTGACTTGCTTTGAGTTCTGTTTTTGTTATATGTCTTTTATTTAAAGCAATTCTTCCCCACTTGAGTTGCGTAGGCTAAAACATTCTATTTCTGAAATTTTACAGGAGTGTTGATACACTGCGAGTGACAGAACTTCATGTAGATGGAATCTTGTCTAAAAAGGGAATAACCTTCTATAGTCTTTACAAAGTATGTGTGTGTTTATTAACTGATTAGGTTTACCCCAGTTCTATTCTTCTCTTGCAGGCATTATGCTGCTTGAAGTATTCCTGGTTCTGGGGACAGTCATTATCTACTTCTTATTTTCCAAGAAGAAAGAAGAGACATTGCCCTTCAAAGATGGATGGTGGGGCAAGGGACAAAAGCCTGACACTGAAGAAGATACAACTATTCGGCCATTTAAGGTGGAAACTACAGAAGAAGAGCTGAGTGTAAGCAAATCTCTGGGCTGGGGAGAGAGAAATAAGAAATGGCCAAATAAATGCAGAACTTGCTTGGAAGTAATTTTTAAATTGAACCAATAGTTACACTTGTGAGAATGAGCAATGATGTCCAGGTCTTGGGGGAAGGGACTTCTAGTACTTCAGAAAATTGGTATGGATAGGCAGGTTTTATACACTGCTGTACAATTCTGTTCTCAGCTGGCTGTAGCAAGATTGCTGGTAAATAAACCTACTCTGCAGAGCCTAATAAACATAAAAATCATATTACAGATTACTCAACTCTGTTTTTCTGTTTGTGCACTTTGCTCAGTTTGTGTAGATGAGAATAAGAACAATGTCTTTTTTTTTTTCTTTCTTTCTTTCTTTCCAAAGCAATTACGAATACCTCATTTTCTTGACTGCTTTATGTTTGCAGCTGTGTTGGATGCTGATTCTTCTGTAATTAATAGTCTACTTTGGTCAACACTAAATTACTGTGGTAATTACAGTAAACATGCGTTGCAGAATTTGTTGGATAGAAAGATTTTGATTGTGTGTGTTTAAGCCAGGGATTGAACAATTTCACAGATCTGTGTGGAGTCATGGTTTAAACAATACTCATGGGATTGCTCATATTATTCATTTATAATAGCTTCCTAATTTCTCAGAAAGTCCTGGGTTTTTTAACACTTTGCTTGCCCTTCATAGTAATATCAATGGACATTGATCTCCATTATGTTTTCCCCTTACGCTGCAGACATTAAGCTAGATAATTTCTAACTTACAAATATTTTTGAAACATGCCATTCTGTATTGTGACAGCTCTTGCAACATAATCCATGGGTAGAAAACTCTGATTTTAAATATAAACTAGGAGTTAGTTGTGCTAGTGCACGTTACTAAAACATTTTAAAAGGTGTTGAGCATAGAAAAAAAGCATGTATGTAAAGACATGTTAAAAACTCCATTTAGAAATCCATGCTTTCTGAACATGGATTTCAAAACAGTGAGTTCACGTTCTGACATCTTCTCTGGGCTGAGACTGCCTGTTCAGTGAGGCCTGAGCCAGTGCTTACATTTAACTCATCTTGGTCAGAGTGGGAGTTATCTCTGTTGCTCTATTGGAAAATGCTGTTCAGGTTTAAACCCCAGCATTGGATTTCCAGACCTGCCTTCCACCCTCAGCTGCTCTGTTCACAGTAGGAAGGGGCTCTGGGCTGTCCTTCCCTGCAGAGTGATTTTGGACTGATTTTTGTCAGCATCCCGTGTAACCTTGAAGTGCAGTGGGAAGGTCACTTACATAGTTATTCCAGACTGGGAAACTTTAATTTCAGTCTAGTTTCACCAGCTTTGTGTCCATGCAAAATCCTTCAGAGTGTTTCCCAATGAAAACATCCCACCCCTTGATTTGGGAAGGAAAACAAAAGGTTTGGGCCAGATCCTTGCCTTGATTGTGACGTTGGGCTCACAGGTAACCTAGGGAACAAAGTACCCTGGAAAGGCAACAAGACTTAAACTGGGAAGCCACAGTAGTGTCAGCAGAGCATATTGCCCTCTGTGGTTATCAGCCTGGCAAACAGGTTATCCAGCCCTGCAGAACAAAGACAGTGTTAAGAACAGCTGTAAATGGAAGAGGAAGGAGGCCATCTGGAGGAGGAAAAGAATTGGAACAGCTGATGGAGCATCAGCAAAAGGCACAGGTGTCTAATTAGAGATGTTATTTTCATTGTTCTCATTTCTCTTGGGCATTACTAGAAACCGTGCACGGGAGAGCCCAAGACAGCAGGCACAAGTGTTTTAATGTCTCTTTCTTTTTCCCTGTAGGACTTATTTAGGAGACTTGACCAGGCTCGGTTCACTGAGCCACTGGAGAACAGTTGCTTCCATTATGGGATTAACTCTGTGTATCTCAGGAAGGTTGTCTCCTACTGGAAAAACCAGTTCAATTGGAAGAAACAAGTTGAAGTCCTCAACAAGTACCCACATTTCAAAACAAAGATTCAAGGTGTGTAGCTTTTCCCCTTAAAAAGTAAACAGTAATACTTAATCTTATCTGCAAGGGATCTTGGTGGTGAGAATGCTCTGGTTGTGTTGGATGGGCCTTCCCTCCCTGGCTGCCCTAGAATGGATCATTGGCATCACTGCTGAAGCAGCAAGAAATTCCTTCATTGTAACTGAAGCCTTTAGGACAAGGAATGACAAATGGAATTCCCTATGCATGAGTGGGTTGTCAGCTGGTGTTAACAGGAGCCAAGCACGGGCATTTGGAAACAGAACTGGATCTTAAGACGTACACATGTTCCCTGACTTGCATGCAGTCATGCAAAAATACCCACAGATGTCTCCTCATGCTCCGTGTAGTTCCCCAGCTGCCGCTGTCACAGCGATGCCTTCAGCCTGGCAGCCTCCTCAGCTGGGTGTGCTGGCCACTCAGGTTTGTCCCTGCTTGGCAGGACAGATGTGCTCTGCTGCACCATTTCAAGCATTCGTGGACTAGGAATGCAGAATGCCTTTCCCTTGGGGTTGATGTGCTGCCAGGTGTGAGAGAATGGTTTGTCTTTTTATTCAGAGCACACACACGTGTTGGAAGAGGTTGTTCAGGTAAGGTCTGCTGGTGCTGGAGCTTGGTCAAACTGGGCGTTTTAAGATGTTTGATTTAGGGTTGTGCTTGGGTCATTTGGGAGTGCAGCTGTAGATCTAGAGCACAGCAGGCAATTGTCTCACTTGATGGCAAAATTCAAGCTTAAGAGTATGTTGTACACTTTTGCATCCATAATTTTGTATATTATTTCAAGTGGTGCAGTTTGCCATAATATTTAAAATGGATTTGGGACAATAAATGGTTATTACATAGTGGTTAGATCATAAAGCTTTTATTTAAATGTATACAACATGGTTACTGCTGAAAAAGATATAACCAAAAAAGTTTTCCCTTAAAAAAGGAAAAAAAATACCTGAGACAAGAAAGGGAGAAGCAGCTAAGGACATTGCACTATGTATAGCAATGGGAAGAGCAATTTCAGTGTTAGGAAAGATTACGGAGAGGAGACATGAAAAGACAAGGTCAAACTTGCTGTATATCAGATTCCTACCTTCTGTCATCACTTGAAAGTTTTTCAGAGAATACAGAGATTCACAGAATTGTCAAGGATGGGGAAATCTCAGTCAGTGAAAGAAGGTGGGATCACTTGTGACCTGGAGTTGATGTGAGTAAAATGTGCTTAAATACATCAAGCAAATTACTGTTTCTTGGAAAGCAAAGCCCTGAATGGGGCTTTGGGAAGAGCAATTCACCTGAAGCACATAGTGCAATGCTGTGTGAAGCCTACTGCTTACTTAGAGAAAGGATCACCGAGGAAACTGGACTGCAATTTTTACCTTTTTACTTAACCAGGAAGAGACTGCTACTAGAACACAGTCTCCTGTTATGGTTTACACACTGAGAGATACTGAAAGCTTTGGACAAAAGATAGAAAAGAACTACAAAAATTAACTCTCTTTTAGGAAGGCATTTTGTCAAGTCCTTGATTTGGCATGACTGGTTTATCTGGCTTGATTACAGGAGGCCTCCATAGACAGAGAATTCCTTTTGCTGTAACATTTAGGATCAGTGGCTGGAGACAGAAGCCAGACATGTTCAAGTGTAAAGTAAGGCATGCACAAAACGAGGAAAGTGATTAACACCCCCAAACAAACAACTGCTAGTTGAGATGAATTCCCTATCTCTTGGTGCCTTCAAGTTGCAATTTATGCCTTCAGGAAGAAAAATCTGGGGTTGACTGGAGCCTATCCCATGCCATATAGGGACATTTGGGTAAAAATTTAAGGGCACTTGGACGAAATGATGTAATTGACTCTTCTGCCTTTAAGCTGTGTGAGTCACTGTGTTACCGTTAGTAGATTGGCAAATTAAGACATAGCAGTGAAGCAATTTATTTTAAAACAGAAATACACCAACCTCATTTGGCTGCTGTGATGCTTAATTACCCATCATAAAGTACTTTAAGGTCCTTGGATAAATGTATCCAGAGAAGTGCAGTGTTTTTGCATCCTCACTAAAAAAAAGACTTCAGAAAAGCTTTATTCTTAATCTGTTCTGTGAATAGTTTCAGCGCTGTGGTAAATTTGAGCATGCTAATTAATTATTTTATTTTTACAGGCATTGATATCCATTTTGTTCATGTAAAGCCTCCTCGTTTGTCTGAAGGCCAGTCTGCAAAGCCATTATTAATGGTTCATGGTTGGCCTGGCTCATTTTATGAGTTTTACAAAATTATCCCTCTCCTGACGGATCCTGCAAGCCATGGCCTCAGTGATGAACACGTTTTTGAAGTCATTTGCCCATCTATCCCTGGTTATGGTTTCTCAGAAGCACCCCACAAAAAAGGTATGATGCACGAGGAGAAACTGAGCTACCACAAACCCGGTCTCACAGTGAGATGGCCCCTGCTAGCAGCACAGTAACTCCTCTTACACACTTTTTGTTTTCTCACTGTAGAAACAGAGATCCTGTGTGTCATGTGGGAAGAGGGAGATAAGAGGGTGACTTTAGGTGACATCACTGAGTTGTTTCTGGAGCAACATATAGATAAGTTTAAAAGAACTATAAAAAGCTATGAAGTGACAACTCAGGAATTGTAATTGAGTCGGTGAATTGTCTGTGAGTGAGCCGGCAGAGTAAATTTAATTTATTACTGTTCCTTTTGGGTGTTTTGAATTCAGCGTTACATTCAACGGCATTATACAGGTAGGTGAGAAGCATCAGTTGAAACAAATCAGGTCATATTATCTACAAGGCACATTGCAGCCTGCTCATTCAGCTTGTGCTTTCAGTTATGCAAACACAAGCTGCATCAAATTGAAGCAAGGTAGTATTTAAAGTCGTACTGAGTTTCGTATTTAATTATGTGTGCAGGTGAATGATGTGGGGAAGGTTGGTTTTGCTTTTCTCTACTTCCCCATTTACAATTTATGTCGTCAGTGTCTAATGAAGTGGAGAACTGCATTACTAGTGGAAACTTAGAGTTTCCAGCTGTCATTAAGAGGAGAGTGTGCCCACAGTAGACAAAATAGAAACACGCTCCCTGGGCAATGCTCTGTGCCTCTGATGGGGCTCAGCTGCAGTATGACCACAGTTTAGTTTAAAGGGAGTCTGGCAACCCCTTGGTGGGGCGAGTGCATGGGCAAGTGGTGGGATTAGAAGAACACTAGTCTGCAACAAAGGCTGGACTTGGTCCTTTCTGCTTGCTCTCTAGACCTTGCCTAGATGGTGTGCAAAGGCTTCCGTATAGTCTGTTGGACAGGCGAGGAGAAACGGACTTGTAGCTTTTTAGGAACTTGAATGTTGCCTTTATGTGGAGAATAAATGCTGCAGGGTGAGCATTGTAGGTGGAATTAATACAACAGTGTTCTTTTCTTTTAATGCAGACTTTAATTCTGTAAGTGCTGCTTCTGTTTTTTATGAATTGATGCTCAGACTGGGATTCAATGAGTTCTATGCCCAAGGTGGTGACTGGGGCTGGCTCATCTGCACCAACCTGGCCCAAATAGCTCCCAAGTGAGTATCCCTTTGGTGGAGCACTGCAAAGCTGTTTTATTCTGTGAGTAGTTATTTCTTGTGCACTTGAAAGTTCCTCTCCAAGTCCTCACATGAGCACTGCGTAATTTCTTTCATTGCCGTTCAGTGTTCAGCAGTGATCCAAAATTACATACCTTAATTTATATTATATACCTGTTCTTTCAAACTGTTGTGCAGTAGTTTTGTAATGGCCCCGCTGATGTCTGGAGTGGGATAAGTGCTTGTAAGTTAAAAAAAAAAAGAGGTTTGTGGCTTAATGCCCAGGAGTGTGTGCTGATTACTGACTGTTGTCCCTTTGACTTGTCATTTTTGTGTGAAAACCACACTGGAAAGTACAGCTGAGGTCATGGTGTAATTAGCAGGTTGGAATTTAAGGGCATGCATTTTTGTTAATAACATTTTAAATGTTAGTGGTCACAGCACCAAGCCTGCCAGAGTTCAGAAACATTTGGACAACACTGCCAGGCACATGGTGTGATTTTTTTTTTTTTTTTTTTTTGGTGTCATCCTGTGCAAGGCCAGGAGTTGGACTTCAGTGATCTTTGTGGGTCCCTTCCAACTTGGGATACTCTATGATTCTCTGATTCTAAATGTAACAACTTTAAACCCTTTCTGATTTTTGTTAATTTGTGGGGCTTTTTCTGTTTTTACTTTTAGCCATATGAAAGGTCTCCATTTAAATCTAGCGTCGGTTTCGAAGATGGGATTCACTCACCTGCTCTCCATTCTGCTGGGCCGCTACTTTCCAGGGCTCTTTGGTTTCCAGGAGGAAGATATTAGGCGGATGTTTCCCTTCTTGGAAAAGGGGCTCTACAGGATCTTGTCGGAGTCTGGCTATGCTCACATACAGGCTACAAAGCCGGATACTGTTGGTAAAACAAACAAGCAAAACCCCAACCTTTTGAGCTCAGAATACTTAGTCTGTTCATTTTAGCTGTACTTCTGTAGAAACAAAATGTCCCATTTAAAATACGCAGAAAATATTTTTTTTCTTTGAAGTGGGAAGGTTGGAGGTTTTAAAAGATGGGCTCTTTTCTCTATCCAAGTCAGAAAGGGTTACATATGTGTATATAGCATTACACTCACTTCTGCATGCAGAAGCATCGTATCTGCACATCAAAACTGAGCATGCTCTAAGTGCCACTGACCTCATTTCTAGTTTTCATAAATAAAATAGATTGTTTAATACTTTTCCACTTCTGCTGCCACTGGGGACTGTAATTCCATTTCAAACGCAGCTAGGCTGAGAGCAAAAGAGAGTTTCTTCTCAGAGAATGGATCACATTCAAATGATGTAAACCATGAGAAGCTTTTAGCTGTCTCAACACGCAGTGTAACTTATTTACTATAGAGATAAGTAATATCTGAGAAGTGAAATCACATTTCATTTTCACTCATTGTTCTGAATCACTTGCAGACTTTCAAGGAAAAAAAAAGTGTGGCTATGAATGTTCTTCCTAGATGAGCTAGTCACTCAGATTGCTTAACTACTTTAAGTATCTGGATATTAAGTGTTTCTATTTTAAAAACATCTTTTATGACTGAATTGGACAACCGAGTCAAGAATACTGACTACATTTTAGTTTAGTGCAGGACCAATTCACTCATGGATTTTATTAAAAACATAGCTAAGGAAAATATTTCTTAATGGTCTTCCATAAGCTTACCTACAGAGGCAGGTATGTTCTTAAAATGTGTAGGCAAAATGATAATTTTATGGATTTAAAATAATTTTGCTCCCACTGAGTTTTGATTTCTAAAACTTGCTAGTCTTTTGTACTTTAGGAAAGAGGGGGAAGCTGACAGCCATGCTCCCTCTGCTGTGCTTTTTTGGCTGATTTTTGTCCCTACCAGTAGTGTGTGGTCTGTCAGAGCAGACTGTGCAGACTGGGAACCAGCAGCCACTTCATGCTTTGGGAGCTGGAGCATTCCTGCAGTTCTGAGGACAAAGGAGAGAGGAGTTGTGTACAGTGGCAGGTTCCTGTAAGGAGGAAATCACTCTGAAGAAGGAGATGTAAGGTTGCTGGAAGCTCCTCTTTGGGAAACCTGCATGGAGAGTGGTTTCATTTTCAACTGAGGGAAATAGGCAGCACCTGTATTCCAAGTGCTGTTAGGATCAGTGCTAGTTTTTCCTATATGTAAACAGATGTCCTCTTCTTTACTCACAGGCTATTGCTTTTTAGTTCAGCAGATCTGGAACATGTGCTAAATAGAACTTTTTCAAACCCTTGCTATTTCAGTTATCAATATTGGTTGTTTGATAACTGAAATTTCACTGTCATGTTTAAATAGCAATTACTGATGACATTGTGCCAACTGCAGTGTTAGGCATCTTTCAGGAAGGTTCAGTTGCATGCATGGAACTTCAAATATACTGCTGTTCCTTGGGAACAGCTTTTTCTCAGGTTTTACTGAGCAGCTGGGACAGTTTATGGTCCCTGTATTTCACAGCACTAGAATGTGTGAGCAGAGTTCCAGGTGCAGGTGTGTTTTTCCTGTCCAAGCAAAACAAACTGTAGAAACTATATTAATGCTTGTTCTACATGAAGGCAGTTGGTTGTTGCTAATTCAGAAGATGGACTTTTAGTCAAGTCTTGCTCTTCCTTAATGACTTTCTAATAATCCTTAAAGTGTTTTTGCTGTTAGGTAATGCTGCAAATCCTCCTGGTCATGTGTAGGCATGTGGGGTTTGGCCCTACAATACTGTTTAATACATGACAACTTCCAGATTAATGGAAGCAAACCCTACTTGGCACATAGAGCTTAATCTTATTAGCTTACAAGAAAAAATAAAAAGCCAGCAGAAATCCAGTACTGTTACATCAGTGCAGGATTAAGTGGTTCCAAGTCATTGCACTGTTTTATTTATTTATTTCAGAACACAGCTGCTGGGAGACCTTTGTCAAGTTACATCTGCTGTATTGTAACAGGCTGCTTCTATAATAGTCTGAGTTCAGTAGCTGGATATCACAATTTCAGTTAATTTTTCCTCCTCCTTTTCAGGCTGTGGTTTGAATGACTCTCCTGTAGGACTGGCTGCATATATCCTGGAGAAGTTTTCTTCCTGGACTGATATGGAATTCCAGAATTTAGAGGATGGAGGGCTAGAGAGGTAAGCCTTTTCTCTTATGCCATTTTGGATGAGGTGACTCAGCCCCGAGTCATAGCTAAAGAGGTTTGTCTGATCGCCTCGCAGGGAGCCTGTGATGACCACAGATGGTGCAGGGCTGTACTACAGCATGCAGAGAAGCAAATAGGCCATGGAGGCTGATGTATTCCCTTCCCACTTTGATCTCCTAGAAAAAAAATACACCCTGCAACTTCGGGATATTAAAAACTGACTTAGGGGGAAGAATCTCATTAGGATAAAAAATCCAAAAGTTTAACTTCCATTAAGATGCTGGGAAACAAAACTCTTGATTTGTTTTAATACTAATAATTAACTCTCTATGAATTTGCTTTGGATTCATTGGTTTTGCTTCATCTACCTACCATTTGCTAATACAGGACCATTCTTAGTGTGCAGCAGAAATCCAAGATGAAATCCCATTTGAGAACTACCTGGCAGGAATGGAGCGAAGTGGCATGTTATGAAAAGGCCCATTTGAATGGAATGTTTGCACTTCATACAGCTAATAATTATATATGAAACATGCATTGTTTACAGCACATGTTGGTGTGTGATGGCTCTGTTGAAGGCTCACGGTAGCATTTCACATTATCATTAGTAAATGGCACAAGCTGTTCCATGTGCTGTTCTGCTCCCACCCTCCCAGTCTATGGACAGGATAGACAGCTATGCTGGAGCATAAGGTGCTCATTGGAGTCTGCCTTCCGTGTAGGAGTTAAAATGTCACTTCCCAGTTTGTGTCTGAAAGCCTTTAACATCCTTAATTGGTCACTGACAGACAGGGGGAGTAGTACACTTCACCTCTCCACTCTCAACCAAGTTAATTGTTTTTTTCCTGTAACGTTTTTTTTTCTTGCAACCAAACCAAAGTCAAGCCCCTACTAAAGTAATGCAAATTGATATTCAGTTCTAACTAAGCAACCTCTGGGCTTACCTATTCAGGAAGTTTAACCTGGATGATCTGCTCACCAATATCATGATCTACTGGGTGTCAGGCTGTATAGTCTCCTCAATGCGTTTCTACAAAGAAAACTTGCAGAAGGGGATAGGCACACAGAAACATGAAAAGTAAGTGGTGTTTTTTTTCTCTTTAAATATTTTGCCCTGATCTTAATTTTATGGTTGCAGACAGACTGTTGCCTTATAGATGCTGCAGGTTTCTGAATGTATCACAATGTTCCTCTGCAGGACAGGCCTGGTAGTTGATGAACTGTGTTGTGCTTGGAAAATGCAGTAATTAGGTAGGAATCCTGAACCATCAGTAAGAACACCTGACTGGAAGTGCTGCTTGAGGACCTCCCATTCATGGCATATCCATGTACTTCCAGATTTTATTTCAGCTACTAAATTAGCCTGTGACTGACTCATGCAGTCAGTTTTGTTTAGTTTGGTTTGTAGTTTTAGTACTTTTCTGGACACACTTTGCCTATTTCTGCAAAAGTCTTAAGTCCTGCCTTTGGAAGTCCAGGCTTCAGCATACTGACAAAAGGGGTAAGTCAGAAGTCAGTAAGACTGATGTGCCTGCTCCACAGACACTAAAGACAGCAGCTTGGTTGCATATACTTGTGTCAGCTTGAGTATTAGTGAAGGCTTAAACCTGCCCTGAGGTACTTGCACCGACAGCTTACTGCTATGGGATTCATTTAGCTGTGAAATGATGCTCTCAGGAAGCTGACTCAGTTCTTGGAGCTGTAGTGGCTACACTGTGAGCAGTATCTTGCTCTGGTTCTGCCTCCATGAGATGATGTATATGAGCTTCTATGTGCCTAGAGGACAGTCTCAAAGTCTTGTGTAAAATTAGGCACTCTGATCTCAGGCTTCTAGGGGTTATGTGCCCAACACTTTTTGTATCTACATTTTAAAGTCTGTCACTTCTGACAGTGCAGCTTATGTGTATGAGATATTTAAACCTAGAAAATGTGTCTCTTCTTATAACAAGCACACATCGTTTCCCTTTCTAAGAGACTCTTTCCCTCAAATCCATTTGCTTTCTTACACTTCCTAATGCACTGAATATTTTGTAGAGTGCATTTGTGCCACTTAAAAGCAAGAGCTACTTTACAGGGTAAAGTCTCACATTCAGAAGCATTTCTTCTGACCTAGTCTAGATTTACTCTCTGTTTTCTACTCCTCCCTTCCACTTTGCAGCACTTTGAAGTAATTCTTCCCTTGCCTACCCTCCAAGTTGTCCTGCCAGGGTCAACATGTTTGAGTTGTAATCTTCACTGTAAATCTCTTGAGCATGAGTGCAGCATGAAGAAATTTGCTGCCCACCACCTCCTAGAGCTCTCTTCTCCATTTCCATGCTTTTAACTCTCATGCCCTTGAAAAATTGCCTTAATGTAAATGTATGCCAAAAAAAAATATTTTTTTTCTTCAGGAATTACAGTCTTGTCTTCAATTTTAGGATCTGGAAGTCAAATTATAATTGTCTAACAACAGTGTGCCCAGCTGTTTAAGAACACCATTTTCTTGGGACTTTTCACTTCTTGCAGATTTAAGTGTTTGAAAGATTAAAACTATTTTCTCTCCTCTCTCAGGCTCACAGTACAAGTACCTACTGGCATTGCCTCCTTCCCTAATGAAATCATGCACACACCCCAGGCTTGGGCCCAGAAGAAATACACCAATATAGTTTCCTTCCATTTCATGCCTCGAGGGGGCCATTTCGCAGCTTTGGAGGAACCTGAACTTCTTGCTAAGGATATTCTGCAATTTGTTGGGAAAGTAGAGAAAGAGCAACTTTGGAAAAAGAAAAGGGAATAACTTCCCGTACAAACAGCAGGGTAATTACTTTTAGCTTAGCACATGTACAGGGCTTACTAAGTCTACTGTAATCCATGTAATTAGATCTTATTACTGACCAGACATGAGAGAGGACAGCAAGAAAAATGGAGTATATCTCCATGAGATACTGTCATAGGGACCTACTGATTTTGGTTGTTTTTTGTTTTGTGGGGGGTTTTTTGTTTGTTTTTGTTTGTTTTTGTTTAGCTAGGCTAAGAAAGCAGCAGGAAGATTACTTGGCTATCTTCTAAAATGTGTTCTGTAGTATTCCTGACTCTTGCTTTGAGATTAAAATATAGACCTTACAACATAACTAACAACAGTTTAATTGTTATGAAAGGCTTTTTTTTTTTTTTTTCATGGCAGCAGTAAAACTTGAGTTGCTGTAAGCATGACGTTCCTCACATAAAGAATGGGGAGCAGCCTAGCAAGCCCTAACTTGCATGAGTGCATCAGGTAATCAGCATCAATGATCTACAGTACCTTTAAACGAGCCCCTTGCCTACTGCTGGCTGCCTTTCTCTTCCAGCCTGGGCTGTTAAGCAGCTTCCTGGCTGTGAAGAAGCTCAGCTCCTCTGTGCCAGGCTCCTGGGATAGCACCATGCAAAGAGCAGCTGGAACACACAGGTGCCTGTAGGTCGGACCAAAAGGAGGGGCTGGGTAGGAGTAATTATAGCCCAAGCTACCTCTGCACTGAGTTTGTACTCGTAACTTAAATCATAGCCCAGGGTAAGCTCGACACACTGTGGTTTTGCACGGCATTGTAAATACTCTTACTGAAGAATAAAAATTTGGTTAATTTGAAATTAAAAGAAATTTGCATTAAAAATTTGAATAATTCCTGTGTGTTTTTCTTTTAAATTTTTAATAACTGAGATGATTTTTTTTTGGTATCAGCTAAGAGTAGCATCAGTTCACAACCAATCAATTTTGTACTGCGTCTGGCACAAAGATCAGATGGAAGGTAAACTACTCAAAGTTGAACTTGAAGAGCTGTATCGTTTTGCCAGCAACTGCCCTTATTGTGCACAGTTGAGCTTCAAAGAGTCTTAAACCATATCCAGATGACTGATTTCAGTTTGGTTTTGTTCTGCAGTCACTTCTGATGTATTTCTCTACTTCTGCAAGCACAGGGAAATACAATTTACTGATAACACTTGCATGGATTAGCATTATTTCACAATATGAATTGAAATGGAAGCTGTTAAATAAGAGCTGCTCCAGCAGAGCTCTGCTCCATCCCACAGGGCTTTAGACTCAAGCATGCCATGTAGTTTGTTTCACAGAAGGCCAGTGGACACTCCTGCTGGGCACGTTCAAATCCTAATGCTGAAAGCCACCATCAGCTGTGACAGAAAATCGTTAGGGCAGACGGGTTATGTACCAGCCTGGATCAGTTTTCTGATCAGAGAAGAGACCTCTTTTGCTCCCCTTCCTCTGCCTGCTGCACCTGGGTGCCCACAGAGCGAGGTAGAGGAGCTCTCAGGTCTCCCTCCCACATTTGACTCTCAAGTTGTACTTGAATTCTTTAAGACTTCACCTGCTTCCAGATTAGTAGTGAGCACTAATTCTATGTTTACTTGTAAATGCTTTCATTAGTCAAAATATGTGTTCTCACTTGCAAAATATTGCGTGATTCAGTCCAGTCTGTTTTGAACAGTCAGGAAAAAAACACAGAATCATTCACTTTGAAGTAGACTCTTCTCAGAGAAGAGCCATCCCCAGACTTGTTTCAGGTGCTGTATATTGAGAGAAGGTTGCTTATTCAGGAGGAATCAGCTCACCTCTGACTACAACATCTGTTTACAGGCACCACTATGCAGCCTCCTGCACAAGTCCTGATCTTTGACCATTTGGTTTTGCCTTTCCTCTGTCCCCTGTGTGGCCTTATATTTCAGAGCTGGAGACCATCCCCTCTCATCTTTAACGCACATGCAGACATCTGCTGTGGTGCGAGGGAGCTCTGCCATATACTGAGATAACTGAACACTTCCCCAGGGGCTGCTCAGTCACAGTGCAGATAAAGGAAGTGGGAAGGAAGTTTGCTATGTGATACCTGCCAAACTGATTTTCAGATGTGAGTCGAAGGCTTGAAGCGTTTTCTCTCTCCCTTCTGGAGCAGATCTGCTTGAAGGGGCCCAGACTCAATGAGAGGAGGCACAACAAGATTCTGTTTTGTGATCTTACATTACAGCAGCTCATCCAGGCTCAGTCAGTCATCAGTGAGAGCTGGACAGAAAAACAACTGCCTGTAGAACCTTTCTATTTTTAAATATGCCTCTCAGTGCTCAGCACTCTGTTCATGATAATGAACAGAGGCAGTACATGAGCATATCCTTGCCCTGCTCTGCACACCAGGTAAGGGCACTTCAGCCAACTACAAACATGAGCTGTCCCCACTGTCGGTATAACTGGGTACAGGAGATAGGCACCAGGGCACTTAAATCCAGCACAAAAATGGGTTTGATTAGCTACTGTCTGAGAGAGAAAAAATCTGGACCTAAAAGGTGTAGACTTTAGAAGCTTAAAAATTATAATTAAACACCTGATATACAGCAGTTTATTCTGAATTCTTACATCGCACTTCTGAAACCTTAAGTCCACAGCTATCAGCAGCTGTAGCTCTTCACTTGCTTACCTAACTTAGATACAAAGATACAGTGAAATACTATGACAGTGTGAAAAAGTGTAAAATTCAGCTGTGTGGCAGCTGTAAAACCTGCCATCAATTCCTCTCCCTTTTTCAAAATAATCCCCTGGTTTTAGCACAACAGCCAATCCCACCACCTGTAGTGCAAGGTTTAATACTAATGAAGTGTCTGTGGGCTAGTGAGAGCATCTGCATCTTGTCCTGTAGCGAGCAACTCTCCCAAGAGCCTGAGATTTGGATTTGACAACCACCTTGAGTGAATCCAGATTCACTTCTGATACGCTCTGGTATTGGCTAACAGGCAGTTATTCGGTACAGATAATCAGAAACAGTTTTAACATTTCTGTTAGCAAGTAACTGCATATCAGGTTATTGCAATAGCAATAAGCAGTACAAAAGGACTCCCTGCTCTGTTACAATTGTTCTCATTTATGTGAGCCAGCTGAGTACCTGCCATTCAGACAGGGAGTTTTCTCTAACGAGGCCAAATGCGCTGCTGTTGGGCTGGCTCTGAGCAGTTTCTTGGGAATAAGGCTCTGAAAGAGTTGCTACAGCCTCCAAGAGAACCCAGAGACACTTTGACACTCAAAACATTTTGTTTTGCTCCAGAGCCATTTCTTAGTGAAGCTTCCATTTCTGGACCAAAGTTGCCCCAAAGTCCCTGCCCAAAGAAATTGCTGTCCTAAAAGCCATGCCACGATAAGTTGCTCCAAAACATGCATTTATCCCACACTGAAACCAGAAGTAGCTGACTCATACTCTGATTCTTAATTACCCAGTTACAGTCCATGAAGAGTCTAGATAAGGGGTTTGGAACCACGGAGATGTCACTTAAAATAAACAAACTTGCACTCTGTCTCCCCAGCTGAAGTGCTTTGGAAAGTATCTGCTTCTGGTATGGAAAAACACAAGTAAGGTCATAATGTTCTCATACAGCTCCAGCTAAACTAACTTCCACTACACCCAAATTGGACTTCTGATTTTTAAACTACAAATCATAATGTTCTGAAAGATCCAAGCCACTGTATGCAGCCTGTGGACATCTTACACAACTACACAAGATAAGACTTCATGTACATTAAACAAAAAAGTCAGGCATTACTCAAATTATAAATGAAAGAAATACGAATAGAAATCACACTTTCATATGAGAAAGGAAGTTAAACCATCATTTAGTGAAAAATAGAATCTGTTAAGCCTAGCATCAGCATTAGCTCTAGATCCATGAGAGGCACTATTCATCACCACTGAGTCAGCTGCAATTGCTTGGGGGCAGGACTGGGGTTCAAGAGAGTCAATCGAATATAAATTCTGGTTTACAGCAGGTGCAATACATAATATGCATTAAATGAAGACACACATTTGTCAGAAAGAGGAATGGAAAAATCCTTCTGGATACTGTGGAAAGAGACAAGGAATAAATCCATATTGATTTCAGGGTAGCTTATTTTAAAACACCGAGAAATGATGCCACTTGTTTTACTTGCTGTAATAGCACTTCAAGGAACATAATTCACACTAAAACCGTCTTGCTAAGGATTAGTTTTCTTTCATGGAAGAAATATCCTGTGCAGCGCCAGACAGCCCTGATGGTGTTATGCCAATGCTGGTAGAAGAATTAGCCCCATTACAATTGTCAGTTGTCTTCTGGAGAACAGTATTTATAAACAGATCTGTGCTGAGTGACAGCTCTTTCCCCTTGCTAGATGTAGTCCAACCATCAGTCTTTGAAATACCTTCCTGACTGGATTTAAAGATGCTGAGGATGCTCATGCTCTCCCCGTGTTTAATAACTGAATGTCTGCAGTTTTGAGGATATGATGAACAATAAAAGAGATTTAAATGATGAGTTTCCATCTTCTTAAATGAAAGATAATCCTCCTTTGCAGCAGTAGTTCAAACCACTGCAGATGATCAATGCTGAGGGAGCACAGTAAAGGGCGGAGGTGAACAGAAACACAAAAAGACAAAATGTCCCTCAAGCTCCTAGTACTGAGTCAAAGATACCAACGTGACAAACATTAACTGTGTGTGAACAGTGACTCATGACTGTTTGAGCAGCAGAGAGAGGTGCAAGGAGGGAGGCTGACTGCTCCACCTTGCCTGTGCTGCCCCTCCCAGCAGCTGCAAGGGGCCCAGCATCCTGCCTGGCCCCCAAGGCCTCCTGCCCCCAGCCCAGCTGCCTGTCCATTGCAGCACCAGCAGCTGCCCCCTGCTCTGGGCCCAGGAAGGGCCCGGCCCTGAGGGCAGGTGAAAAGAGAAGACATACCTTTAGCTCTGAAATTCCTGCCAGATCCTTACTTGCCCCCCTCTGGTATCCACTCCACAGCCAAGGCAAAAACACCTTTTGCCCATCCTGCTGATACTGGCTTCCTGATAATACCCCATCCTTCCTTCTTAACCTGATCCACCTACTGTTCCTTCACTCCTAGTTGTCCACTGCAGAAGGGAACATGAATGTGTCCCACCTGAGGCATTCAGATAAGTGATGGGCGTAAACAACTTCCCTCTGCACAGGGGAAAGGCCTAGCCCAACTAACATTGTTCCCACTGTGTCTGTATGGCATTCCTTACTCAGGACAATTTCCTGAGCTTGGGTTATAGCTCTGCTCCAGCTGTGCCAAAGTAGTCCCACTCACTTTTGGACTATGGCCATTGCTGCCTTGTAGGATCTCTTCTCTGCTCAGTAACCTTTCAACTTCCCCAAAGGCAGGAAAGTCTGAGAATAGCTTTATTTTCAGCAGTTCTTAAATTCTTTTGCAGCCAAGCCTGCATTGTTGGGGTGGTTTTGAATGCAAACAGATTTGTACCTCTTGAGTTCTAGGAATTCTTGTACGGACCCAAGGGAACTGAGGTCCACCCCTGCATTTTTGTCTCAATGGAAATTTTCTTGTTTCACTCCAAGTCTTTTGTGGCTGATAAAGCCTTTTGCAGTGATCAGAAGATATTCATAATGTTTTAGAGAAACCAGAGACAAAGAAGGTTTAAGTGAATATCTCACACAAACTAAGCAGAAGAACCCACTGCAGAACACAGATGATGTAATTCTTCCAACTTCACCACTATGTCTTTTCTTTTTTGAAGCTAAATAACAGAAATTATTACTTAAATGATTCCTCTTAAAGGTGCTCAATTGATTTAGTTCTCAATTTTTGCCCTTTTTTCCCCATCAAATTCTG